TCTGTGCTGACTGCCAGCTCAGAGCCTGGAGCCTGTTTCAGTCTGTGACTTCCTCTCTCTCTGACCCTCCCCTGCTCACACTGTCTCTCCCTCTCTCTCTCTCTCTCTCTCCCTCTCTCTCTCTCTCCTAGAAATAAATAAAACATTAAAAAAAAAAAAAAAGTATGGACACCCGAGCTAAAGTGCCCTGGATTCAGATCTGGCTTCTCCATTTAGCTGAGTGGCCCCAGGCAAGTGCCTTAATCTCTCTGTGCTGAGTTTCCTTATCCATAAACTGGAGTTAATAGAATCTACTTCATAGGGCTGTTGTGAGGATTAAAAAAGCTAATATACGTAAAGCCCTTAAAACAGGGCCCGGTACGTGGTTGGCATTAGCTAACTCAATAAGTACTAGCAGTTATTAACAAAAAGGAATTTCGCAGAATTGAAGGCAAGCACCTGAAGAAGAGGCTGTCCCAGAAGATGCTTCAAAAGGCAAGGAGGAAGCTTATGGATAAAAGAAGCAAAGCATTTCCACAAGGAACATATCCAAGCACACATAGATTTCCCTGGCTAGGGTGGCAAGAAAAGCTGAGTACTTCTCTGTGCCTGGGAACCCACATTGGCATCTTTTCAGAATCAGAAGTATCCATGGCATGAGTCCAAAGTTTCAATAGGTATGGCAGCTCCTTGGCCTTTGAGATCTTCATGGACAGGGCACCTGGGTGGCCTGGGTCCAACTCTTTAAAAAAAATTTTTTTTTAAGTTTATTTATTTATTTTGAGAGAGAGAGAAAGAGGTTGTGGAGGAGTTGGGCAGAGAGAGAAGGAGAGAGAGAATCCCAAGCAATCTCTACGCTGTCAGCACAAAGCCCGATGTGAAGCTCAACCAAACAAACCATGAGATCATGACCTGAGCCGAAACCAAGAGTCTGATGCCCAACTGACTGAGCCACCCAGGCGTCCCAAAGGGTCCTATTCTTGATATCAGCTCAGGCCTTGATCTCAAGGTTGTGACTTCAAGCCCTACATTGGGCTCTATGCTGGGTGTGGAGCCCACATTTTTTTTAAGAGATTCTCAGGGACATGTTTGCTTATGAACCCTCCCCCAGCTGGCTCCCCTCACCTCCTCAGCCCTACTCTTGTTATATTCTTCCTCTGATACTTCCGGCTCCATCCACTAGGAAATGTGTTTGGCTCCTGTCCCGAGAACTACCCTCCACCTCATGCCTTTTCCCCTGCTAGTTCTCCTGACCTTTTCCGTGGCAGGTCCTCTGGGAAACCTTCCCTCGTCCCCTAGACTGGGCAAGGCACTCCAGAAGGGAACCCCCGACGTCCAGCTGCTATAACAAAATACCACATACTAGGTGACTTAAACAACAGAACTTCATTTTCTCACGGTTCTGGAGGCTGGAAAGTCCAAGATCAGGGTGTCAGTAGGGTTGGTCTATGGTGCAACATGCCACCTTCTCACAGCGTCCTCACGTGGCATCCTCTGTGTGTGTGTGTGTGTGTGTGTGTGTGTGTGTGTGTGGAGAGAGAGAGAGAGATCACTGGTGTCTCTTCCTCTTCTTAGGACAGCAGTCCTGATAGACTGTAAACTTTAAGGGGACACAATTCAGCTCATCACATCAGTTCCATGAGGGCAGGGCCTTCTCTACTGCTTATTTACATTTCTTAGCTTAGCCCTCACCTTGTGATTCTCCTTGTGATTCTCTTTAATGTCTACAAGACCCGTTCTTAGCAAGGACTCAATAGACATTTGGTGAGTGAATGAATGAAAGAATTTGTCAATTACTGGTAATGACGTAGGAGCTTTAGAAACAGATACTCAGATAAGGTCTAATGGAGGAAGATCCTTGCTAGTTAGTTCCAGAATGAGGACTAGAAGTCAGAGTCTCTCTATTTCCTTCTACTCTGAGTCCAGGACTCTTCACCCGGAAAAAGAACTGTCAAAGAGCTGCGTAAAACTGGTGATTCTTTTTAAATCCTTGCTTGGAGTTGCAAAGACTTCTTTCACTGATAAGCAAAAATTCTCCTTCACTTTGCCTCTCCTGCCACATTGGCAGGCTTTCTCTTGTCCTAGCAATATGTGGAAGCATTTGAAATGCCTTTCGTCCTTCTCCTCTGTCTGGTTAGGGGCCGCAGATGTGGGTCTGGGTTTGGCCAGAGGCTTCCTTAGCACAGGTTTCGATCGGAAACCAACAACCCAAGGTGTGTGGGGCTCTTTGAATTCCTGCTTCTCTGCTAATGGATTTTGTTAACTGTTTGTCATTTGCTTATGCAAATCTTCCTCTTTCTGCATTAAAATGAACCCAATTATAAAGTAAAATTTCACAATTAAACCACTTAGTGAAGGACATTAAGCGACCAGAAGGAATTGATTTGTAAAAATTTCAGCGATAATTACAAAATGTTTCTGAAATGTGACTAAGTTCTAGGTTTTTCTTTAAACAAACATATGTACGTGCACATTTTCATATATATATACTGCACAGACACATGCACATATTTTCACACACCTGGTTTCCATCTTCTCACCATGGGACTTGTTCTTGCTCCTTCTCAGGGTCTAAATTTTCCCCACACAGAGGAAATTCCACCAGCCATCAGATCATGTCTGCAAAGTTCTTGGAAACCTTCCAAAAGAAATGGCCATTGGGCTGAGGAAACGGGGGTGGGCAGGAAAATAGAAGAAGGTGTAATGGTTTTAATAAAGTCTCTTTGCCACCTTGGTGATTGATTGATATATTTTGGCATTTGCTTCCCTGCTCTGATGTAATCAATAGCAGTTATAGACCGAGGAGCAGGAAAGGTGGAGGATGTGGGATGGGACAGTATTGATTGGTTTTTACAGGAAAGAGCCTTGCCTGCTGCTGGCAGTGCTCTGGCTACTGGAAACTGGACCTTGCTGTATTGCTGTATCAGGGAGAGGTTACCTTTCCCGACACTCATCCAGGCAAGGGGAGATGCAGTCCAGAAACTTGGAAATGGATAAGGACAGGTGATATACACCTGAAAATGTACCCTTTCTGGTATTTGAGGGAGCTAGACACCCTCACTTTCCTCACTGCATCCATGATCAGAGGGTGGAAGTCACAGTCTCCTAGGCTGGTGCAGGGACAGATCGGAAGAGTCTTTAAGGATGAGGAGGTGATGGTATGCTTATGGTTCCAGTATCCAAGAATGAGTCCAGCTCATTTGGTAGTATGCTGCACCCCCAGGCAATATAATGCAGAGAGGACTTTAGAACAGACTCCAGAGCCTGATAGCCTGGGTTCAAAGCCTCACCCTGCCACTCAGTGTGTGACCTTGGGCAGGTTAATCAACCTTTCTGTACTTTGATTCCCCCATCAGTAAGATGGAGATAATAACAGTACCCATTTCCTATGGTTGCTTTGATAGTCATGAGTTAATATATGTAAAGAACGCTGAACGATCCTGGCATACAGTGAATGATATGTGCATATTGTTATTGTCTGGTGGTAGTGGGTACCTGGGCTGGAGTCTGTGATTTATGGGTGGAAACTTAAGAGTACAAGTTTTTCTAATCAAACAGGATAATCACAATTTTTGCCTTCTGCTGTTAAGAACACAGGGCTTAGGACCCAGCAGCTGTTAAATAATTCTCTTAGTACATCAGTCCATGAGCTACAGGATTTCTCAACCCTTTTGTAGATTTTTTTCTATAAGCTTAAGAAAAATTGTGACCACGTCCAGATCCAGAGCACTGGGGCTACATTGGATTGGTAATGATAGCTTCAGTAACCCAAGAAGGCCACAAGCACCGAACTCTCACTAAGTGTGAGACAGTTCCTACTTACGTGAGTGAGGATTTCCATTTGTGAACCAGAACTCAGACTGGGGATGTTCAGATGTATAATTGCCCCTCTGTAATGCTGTGATAAGTAGCTTTAGTGTAATGGATTCCTCTCTATATAGAACAATGTGCTCAAAAGAGAAAATGATTTGTTTTAAAGAAAAGATTCGCCACTTAACATGTTTGTTGACAACACATTTGTTTTTGAAGTACAGTTTTATTTTCTTTTATTGTCATCACCGAATTTTCGGTTTTTAGAAATTCATTTTAGCATGTGATAGGACTTTGGAGCTCATTTTCTTCTCAGTTCTAGATCTGGATACCATTATAGAAGTTGGCAGATTGACAAGCAGGTCCAAAGAAACCAGATTGAGGTGTTCTGTGACAGATTCCTAAAAGGTTAGAACTGAAAAGGACCCTAGAGATCCTCTACTTCATCTCCTTCATTGTGTTTGTTTATTTATTTTTTTAAATTAATCTATTTATTTTGAGAGAGAGAGTGAGCAAGCATGAGCCGGGGAGGCGCAGAGAGAGAGGGAGAGAGAGAGAATCCCAAGCAGGCTCTGCACTGTCAGCACGGAGCCCCATGTGGGGTTTGAACTAATGAACTGTGAGATCGTGACCAGAGCTGAAACCAAGAGCTAGAAGCTTAACTGACTGAGCCACCCAGGTGCCCTCACCTCCTTCATTTTAAAGGTGAGCTCAGAGAGGTGTGATGACTTATAGAGTCTGAACTGAAACCCAGCTGTATCAGTTCCAAGCTCAGTGCTGCTCCACATACCATGAGCTTGCTCATACCCTCCCAGCTCTACATTGAGCCTTTTCATTTTTGTTTTTAAGCACTTTTCAAATCTCCTTCTGTTCTCAGGTTGTATATGAGGCTAAGTTATTATTTGACAATTTCATTCAAGTCAGTGAGGATGCCTTGAATACTGCTAGTGCCAAGCACTGTGTTAGGTCCAGGATATAAAAATAAGATGTGGACCCTACCAAGCAGAATGTCGTAGATGGTATTATTATACCCAATTGTTACTGCCTCTCCCTCTGACAGGATTATGCTTATCTGTGCCATTGACATCAGACTCCATCACGTGACTTGCTTTAGCCAATGAAAATCAAGCAGAAGTGATATGTCACTTGGGAGCAGAGGCTTTCGGGAAATTTTGTGGTCCCACACACATTTTCTCTTTTCTATCTGCCAGGAGAATGGCATGTCCAGAATAAGACCCACATAAAGAGAAAACATGGAATGGAGCCAGAGGCACAACCAACACATAACATGATGAGAGATAAACCTTTGTGTGGTGAGTGACTGAGATTCTGTGGTTGTTTATCCTGCAGCATAACTAGCACAAGCTGATGACTACAGAGAGGATCACAGAGTAGCTGGAGAGACCGTTTATTTCCAACTGAATCACAGGGGGTTGGATGCTTTGCTGGATGTAGACACAGATGATTCAGAAGTTGGCTGAAAGAGGGAACAAGAAACTCATCAGAGAGGAGGCATCAGGAAGGACTTTCTAGAAGAGGTGATAGCTTAGGAGAGTTTTAAAGGCTGAAGAGAAGTTCACCTTATTAGAGGATTGGGGGGTTTGTTTATTCTAACCAGAGAGACCAGCATGTCCAGACATGAAATCTGATATGTTTGAGAATTGCCTGTAATGTCCCCAACTGTGGGTCAGGATCAAAGTTCTTAGTCTTTGAAGCCTATTGACCACTGACCACTGTGTCAGGTGTGCAAGAGATATATGCAGACACTGACATAAAAATGTATCATCTATTTTGGCCAGAACTTGGGCCCCAAATTATCATCTGTTGTTATACCATGAGAAGCCAGTAAGCTAGACTGTATGTGAGCCATAGAGACTCTTCTTCAAAGAATACATATATATAGTTTGAAAATCAGCAGTTGCCTTGCTTCAGCCTTTCACATTCCCATGTTCCATTCCCCAAGGCAGCCGACCTCAACTCTTACAGCTCATTTCTCACGTGTATATACTGCCATGTTTTTAAATAATACATTTATTCTACTATTTCTTGGTTTGTCAATTTTAAAAATTATATATTTTATACATGTTTAAAAAAGTTTAAAATGTATATTTATTTTTGAGAGAAAAACAGAGTGCAAGTGGAGTAGGGGCAGAGAAAGAGGGAGAGACAGAATCGGAAGCAGGCTCCAGGCTCTGAACCTTCAGCACAGAGCCTGATGTGGAGCTGAGCTTGAACCCATGAACTGTAAGATCATGGCGTGAACCAAAGTTGGACTTCTAACTGACTGAGCCACCCAGGCGCCCCTTGAAATTATATATTGACTCTCTATCATGGTAGATGAGAACTTAGTTTCCCCCAATGTTCTCCCTGCACGTCCCCCTCCTTTTATCTCTCCAACATAAACTTTTTTGTTAAATTGATGTTTAATGTTTATATACTAATGACTATGCAAATATTGTTTACTCCTGTATCAAGTAGTACACTGTGATTATGTGTCCTCTTTTGTATAATTCTTTGTTTTTCCTAGAGTTAATAATTGCCTCCTTTTTTTATTGATCTGATGCCCACATGTACTTATAATTTTTATATTTTTTTTTCAAATGGTTCAACAACTCTATTACATACCTAGTAATACTATGTTGCATAGCATGCAACAGCTCATCTGTTCCATTTTTTTCCTTACAGTTATCCCTACAAGAACCTTCTGTTTCTCTGTTTCTATCTGGATTGGCTACTCTTAGAATTGGAATACTACATAACTGTTATTCTGAGGCTTCCCTTTACCACTATTTGAATATTTCCTTTACTGCCTTCTTATGTTGGAGCCCCTGTTACCTGAATTCTCTGTCTTCTTTATTACATTATCATCTAACTAAATTGCTAAATTCCATTCTCCAATAACTTCTCTCTTTTTTAAAGATTTTATTTTTAAGCAATCTCTATACCTAATATGGGGCTTAAACTTAAAACTTTGAGATCAAGAGTCAAATGCTCTACTGACTGAGCCAGCCTAGAGCTCCTCTCCAATAACTTCTTAAGAATGAGCAGTTTAGAAATAGTGGTCTTGAGTCATTAGCTATCTGAAAATATCTTCACCCTCTTCTCATGTATGATTAATAATTTATTTGAATACAGAATTCTAGATTAAAAAATATTTTCTTTCAGAATTTAGAAGACACTTCTCTGTTATCTTTTAACATCTAATGCTGCTTTTGAAGAAGTGTAATAGTCGTATTCTTGTTTTCTTTACCTGTTTCTTTTTCTACCTAGGAGATTGTATGAATTTTTACTTATCCCTCATGATTTAAATTCAGAATAACTGGCTACCTAAGTTCAGTAGGCAGCATGTCAGTCTCATAAAATCACAATGGTAATGGTGGTGGGCTTTGGTAGATTTTTTTTTTTCATTCTTTGTGCTGGGATAATTAGGAGATTAATGTCTTTCATTTCTCTCCTAGTATTTAGATCTCTCTCTTTTGTTTCCCTTTTTGGAAGCCTTCCTCAACTTTGTCTTCTAAATCTTATGAGTTTTTGAAAAAAAAATTTAGTTATATTTTTAATTTCAGAGAGGCTTTTTTCATTTAATTTTTTCTGTTTTATTGTAATCCTTTCTTGTTTTATGGATGCAACCTTTCCTCTTACCTTCATGAATTGGTGTTAAGACTCTTTGAATTGCTTTATTCCTCCTTGCAAAATCTCTTTCACCTCAGATCTTTTTTTCTGGTTTGTCCTTTTATCAAGTTTGAGTCTTTCTTTAAGTATCTTCTGATTCTTGACTGTTTATTTATATTTAAGAAAGAGGCACTGAAAGTTGATTTTAGAAGCTTATTATGTAAATGGCACAGTTTGTTAATTAGTGGACTTTACATAGGGTGATCAAGTGGAAAGTGAATCTTTTGGAGTGCTGGGTGGTTCAGTTGGTTAAGCATCCGATTTCAGCTCAGGTCATGATCTTACAGTTCATGGGTCTGTAACACAGAGCCCCACATTGGGCTCTGTGCTAATGGCTCAGAGCCTGGAGCCTGCTTCGGATTCTGTGTCTCCCTCTCTCTCTCTGCCCCTCCCCCACTCTCTCTCTCTTTCTCTCTCTCTCTCTCAAAAATAAATAAGCATTAAAAAAAGTAAATCTTTTTATTGAGGGAACTTCAGATATCAGTAACTAGAGATCTCTCTGTAGCTCTTCAGTTTTTCAAAGAATCTTCGAATCTACTGGTTAGTGGTGTGGGGGGGTTCCTAACAAGGCAAGAGAAAGGACTAAAGGTCACACAGTTTAGCAACAGATCTCCCTTAATTCATTCACCCTCCACCATACTAGGTGTTCCAAAGTCCAATATTGTTCTTATTCAGTTCCTCCAAAGAAAAATCTCATTCACTGGAGGGTAGAGAAATATGGCTTACTGGCTGTGTGGGGAGAGTGGAACCCCTTTTATAAACAGTGTTCCTACAAATGCCCTCTGTCTATCCAGTTGTCTGCTTAGAGCCTTTGAGGGCTGAATATTTCATGGCTCTGCAGTGGATCAGTCCCCACAGAAGGCCCTTGGCTTGTGATGTTCCTCTTCCTGTGGATCTAATACCAATATTCCCTCTTTGTTTTTTGTTTTTGTTTTTGTTTTTGTTTTTTTTACAAATAGTTTATTGTCAAATTAGTTTCCACATAACACTCAGTGCTCATCCCCACAAGTGTCCTCCTCCATGCCCATCCCCCCCTCCCCCCCTCATCCATCAGTCCTCAGTTTTTGTCAGCATTCAAGAGTCTCTCATGGTTTGCCTCTCTCCCTTTCCCCCACCATTTCCACCCTTCTTCTCCCCCTTGTTCCTCCGTCAAGTTCCTCCTAATCCTCCTATACGTGCAAACATATGATATTTGTCCTTCTCTGCCTGACTTATTTCGCTCAGCATAACACCCTCAAGGTCCATCCATGTTGCTACACATGGCCAGATTTCATTGTTTCTCATTGCCATGTAGTATTCCATGGTATAGATAAACCACATCTTCTTGATCCATTCATCTGTTGATGGACACTTCGGCTCTTTCCATGTTTTAGCTATTGTGGAGAGTGCTGCTATGAACATTGGGGTACATGTGCTCCTATGCCTCAGCATTTCTGTATCCCTTGGGTAAATTCCTAGCAGTGCTATTGCTGGGTCATAAGGGAGTTCTATTGTTAGTTTCCTGAGGAACCTCCACACTGTTTTCCAGAGGGGCTGTACCAGTTTACATTCCCACCAACAGTGTAGGAGGGTGCCCGTTTCTCCACATTCTCGCCAGCATCTAGAGTTCTCTGATTTGCTCATTTTAGCCACTCTGACTGGCGTGAGGTGGTATCTCAGTGTGGTTTTGATTTGTATTTCCCTGATGAGGAGGGATGCTGAGCATCGTTTCATGTGTCTGTTGGCCATCTGGATGTCCTCTTTGGAGAAGTGTCTGTTCATGTCTTCTGCCCATTTCTTCACTGGGTTGTTTGTTTTTCGGGTGTGTAGTTTGGGGAGTTCCTTATAGATTCTGGATATTAACCCTTTATCTGATATGTCATTTGCAACTATCTTTTCCCATTCCGTTGGTTGCCTATTAATTTTCTGGGTTGTTTCCTTGGCTGTGCAGAAGCTTTTAATCTTTATGAGGTCCCAATCGTTTATTTTTGCTCTTGATTCCCTTGCTTTTGGGGATGTGTCAAGTAAGAAGTTGCTGCGGTGGAGGTCAAGGAGGCTGTTTCCTGCTTTCTCCTCTAGGGTGTTGATAGTTTCCTGTCTCACGTTCAGGTCCTTTATCCATTTTGAGTTTATTTTTGTGCATGGTGTGAGAAAATGATCTAGTTTCATTCTTCTGCATGTTGCTGTCCAGTTCTCCCAACACCATCTGTTAAAAAGGCTGTCTTTTTTCCATTGGATATTCTTTCCTGCTTTGTCAAAGATCAGTTGGCTGTATACTTTTGGGTCCACTTCTGAGTTCTCAATTCTGTTCCATTGGTCTATGTGTCTGTTTTTGTGCCAATACCATACTGTCTTGAGGATGACAGCTTTGTAGTAGAGGCTAAAGTCTGGGATGGTGATACCTCCCGTTTTGGTTTTATTTTTCAGTATTACTTTGGCTATTCGGGGTCTTTTGTGGTTCCATACAAATTTTTGGATAGTTTGTTCTAGTTTTGAGAAGTATGCTGGTACAATTTTGATTGGAATTGCATTGAATGTGTAGAGTGCTTTAGGTAGTAATGACATCTTAACTATATTTATTCTTCCTATCCATGAGCATGGAATGTTTTTCCATTTCTTTGTGTCTTCTTCAATTTCCTTCCTAAGTTTTCTATAGTTTTCA